GTGGGCAAAAGAATAATTTTTGTCTCTACCACGTTTATATTGTTCACTTTGATGAGACAGAAAAGGACAAAAACTCAGAGCATTCTAAGATTCTGACTAGACAAGAAAAAAAAGTAGGGCATATGCCCCTAAAAAGAAAAAAGGAGTCACCAGGGGGAGTAACAGACTGAAAGAGTTTATAAAGAATACAAATGTGGAATATAATTATGCGTCTTTAAGAAGGTAGAAAATTTAGATACAGGAAAACAGTACAAAAGGAATAAGAGAACAACAAAAGGAAAAAAGAATCATGACAGACGATCCTGAGGAATACTTTAAAACTCCACCAATATAAACAGACATGGGCTCAAAATACGAAATGTCATCAATCCAGTCCAAGGTGAAAATAAAAGGGATCTGAGAAATCTATCCCTGACAAAGTGAAGTAGCAAAAAGATGGCAGAGAAGCATTTCCTACAAATTCAAAACCACCAGAGAAAGCTGGTGTCAGTGGCACCAGGACAGCTAGGCTAGTGGTCATTAGGGCGCCTCTTCTCCCTGAAATCCCATGACATGGGGTCACTCTCTCTTCTGCTGTCCCTCCCATTCTAGTTGGCCTGACACCTGGCTCTCTCTCACACATGGTCAGGGAGCACTTAGTTCTACTACAAAAGTTGTATTTGTTTCCTATTTATAGCCTCTCTTCTGGAGGAGAAAGAAAGCTCCAAGAAGGCAGGATCCCTGTCTGAACTGCTCTGCTCTACCTCCAGTTTCTGACGCAGAGAGGTGGATGGAGCTACGGACGGTTCACTCTTTGCTCCTGGGAGACATTTCAGGATGAGGGGACATGTCTTTGCTCTTCAACAGAAACGAAAGTGGTGGCCTCGGAACCTGTCACCTCCAGGGGAGGCAGCTGGGGAAAGAATCCCACAGGATGGAGGTGAAGGAGGCATAATTTGCATAAAGGAGAGAGTATGTAATAGAAGAAGGAGTGACGGCTAAGGCTGGATCCAGAAAGGAGTGGGGGGAACTAGCTCTTTGTCCCTCCTATTTATTTACTTCAAAGAAAACTTCCCAAGAGGAGGGAGCCCCTGGCTAAATCTATTCCCCAGAGAATACATATTCATTATTTTTAAAGTTCATTTATTTATTACTTTTTAATTGTTGCATTTTTATGCAGAGTGGTTAATGACTTGGAATTTATTTTTCAGAGATGAAAATGAACTTTAAGCACTTCCTCTGAAACTATTGCTCTTGCTACTCCTCTTCTCCTAGAACAACCCTTCATTTCTCAACATCACTTTTAAAGCTCTACTCACCGCCTGGGGCACCAGACATGTTGATTGTGGCTAGGGTACCCATGTAATCTATTATCCAAAGTGGGACTCTTTCGAAAGTCAAAGGAGGCTCTATTTATAATTACATTGGCAGAGCAGGAACATGGGGATAAATGGTCACCCTAATGACACCTGCTGTGACCATGGGCCTGCAAAAGGACAACCACCTGGCAGCCACGTCTTATGCTCATTACCTCACCCTGTACCACTGCAGACTGCACCAGTTGAGGCACCTGTCCTAAGGGTTACCAATCCCAGTCTTGCCAGCAACACGAGTAAGGACTGAATACAGGTTAGTTATATTATACCTGACTCAAACGGAAACTTCAGCTCTTTCTGGGTTTGGGGTCTTCCAGCTTTTGGATTGAAACCACATCATCAGCTGTCCAGATTCTCAGGGTTTACAACTTGGACTGGACCTACACCATCCGCTTTTCTGGGTCTCCAGCTTGCTGGCTAAAGATCTTGGGACTTTGTCAGCCCCCACAACCATGAGAGCCAATTTATTGTAATGAATCTCTCTCTCTCTCTCTCTCTCTCTCTCTCTCTCTCCTGACCCTAACACAGCAGGGACAGGCACTAGCCCACTGGTTCTCAAAGTACTGGACCCAGTATGCATTAGTATCAGCACCACTAGGAAACATTTAGAAATGAAAATTCTTGAGCCCATCCCAGATCTACTAACTCTGGGATGTTTCTTGGCCCTGGGGACCAAAGGAAGTTAGAGGGGGAAGCTTCCTTCTCCACTTCCCATGCAAGGATTTCCCTCTGCAAGTAGTTCTCAGGATGTTAATACCAGGTTTGAGTATCACGAGGCTACCATTTATTGGGTGCCTATTATTCGCCAGTGCTGCACTGATCCTTACAGAACCCCAGAGGGCAGCCATTAGCTCCTGTTTAGGGAAAGAGAATTAAGGTTTGGAAAGTTAATTTCCCCATAGTAAGAAACCAGTGGAGCTAGAATCCAAGACCATGTGACAATACCACATTCTTAACTTGACCATTAGAAGCGTCAAAAGGCTCCACATAAGAATCATTCTCTTAATTCCAGAACCGCTGCTCTTTCCAAATAAGAAGCATAAGTAAGAAGCATAGTACAGAGAGCTGGCGAGAAGCAGGGGGGATGCTGGATTCCCTTTGTAAGAGTTTGGGCTAGCCTGGCCCAGTCAACAATTCATCCATGGCAGAAGGGGCCAGAGTGAATCCTTCCTGGCCTATGGTGTATGGGGTGGGCCCAAACCACACATCGGCTTAAACTGGCCTTTGACGCAGGAGTAGAATGTACATGGGGCCGTTCACACTTAAAGGGGCTGCAGCCTTTAGGTCATTCTCTCCTCAGGTTAGAAGGCATACAACATCTTCAATGGTCTCCCCAAATTAAAACCAAAGGGGAAGGGGCAGGGTCAAAAGCCTCATCCTTCTCTCATTCTGATAGAGTTCTCCTGCCTTCTTCCCTCTCTACTGCCCCGAGTACCACGACCTACTAAAACTCTTCCTTCTTAGTTGAGACATCAGATCTAACGTCCTTACTGATGGGAACTAAAAAACAGTTTTACTATGACTTGGGTTTTATATACTTCTCTTGCACTCCTAACCCACTCCATTCCTCTAACATGGATCATAGAAAACAAGGGCTAGCCAGGCTTTAGGGACCACTGAATTCAAACCTTTTACCCTGCAGAAACAGAGATCCAGAGTTTAAAGTCACACATCTGATTGGCAAAAGTTGGGACCAGAAACTTGGAACTCTGATGCCCTGTTTCCCCAGCTCCAAATAGAAAATCAGACAAGGGGTGTTACAGACTAAAACTGTGCGTCTCCACACAAGTTGAAGCTCTAACCCCCAGTGTGACTGTATTTGGAGACAGGGCATGTAAAGAGGTGACAAAGATTCAATGAGGTCATAAGGAGGGGCCCTCATCCAATAGGGCTGGTGCCCTTATAAGAAGAGGAAGGGGCACCAGAGCGCTTCCTCTCTACCATGTGAGGACACAGCAACAAGGTGGCTGTCTGCAAACCAGGAGGAGAGCCTTCACTAGAAACCAAACCCTGCTGGACCTTGACCTTGGACTTTCAGGCTCCAGAACTATAAGAAAATTAATTTCTGTTATTTAAGTCATGCAGTCTGTGGTATCTCGTTATGGCAGCCTGAGCTGACTAATATAAGGGGATCTGTGGGCCTCACCTCAAAGTTCAGGCACTGAGAAGTGCAAGCTGCAGGGGAGACCGGAACTGGCCGAGATGAGGGCCATTCAGAGACTCTGACCAGGGGCCACTTTCCACGTGGAATGCCCTAACCCACAGGCACTTGAAGGTCATTAAAAGGAATGAGTCACTCAGTTAAAGAATTTCGGGAAAGCATCCAAACTATGCACATTCTGTTCTGTGAAACAGCCAGCCTGTCCTTCCTCGATGCAGGCAAACAGGAAAAACATTGGCCCAGGTGCACCTCACCCCATTCTGGAACCTTCCCTGGCACATAATGTCCCCTGAAAACCAGGTTGGGAGATTGTTTTCTGAGAGAGAAGAAAATGAGTCTGACCCTCTGGTTTATAAGCCCTTAGAAAGGCCTGGAAGGGAGGGGGAAACCTTGTCACACTTCTGAGGGTCTGACAGGCCCCCATGTCATTTCAGACATCAAGCCTTTAATCAGCAGCCAGTGGCCTGAGATGGCAATATTCTCACCAGTGGGGCAGCTTCAGCAAGTGGGAGATACACTGGCAGCTTCCCCCTCTAACTTCCTTTAGTCAAATGTTTTTCCTGGAACTTATAAAGTTAACAAAGTTAATAGAATTTTTTTAAGTACAAAGGAGGGAAAAAAAAAGAAAAAGTAACTACTCAGTGTTAACACACTGGTATGTTTATCTCCTATATATTTTTCTGAGCTTTACAAAGTTTTTTATGGTGAGCATGTATTACTTTATAATTAAGATGATAAACATTGTTCATTCTCCAAGTAATTCAGTATCTGGCATGAGCCAGGAAGTTTTCTAGACGCTGGAGATAAGCGGTAACCAGGATAACATCCCCCTTCTCCTAGAGCTTCCAGTTACTGGTCGGGGGTAGAGGAGATCATAAAAAGGGAGACAGTGATTGCCCTAGAAGAAAAGTTCAGGTGTTGTGGGAGGATGGGATGTCCTGGGGATGGGGTGGTCAGAGGGGATTCTCTAAGGAGGGAAGGTCCCTCCGAGGAGCGGAGACCTGAAGAAAGTGAGGGGAGAAGTCAGGGGCAGGGCTGCGGGAAGAACTCTTCTTTACTCAGGGAACAGCCTTGTGATGGCCCTGAAGCCTTGCACCAGACGAGCAGAGGGCCAGCTGGACTCCAGGGGAGTGATCAGGATGAGGAGCGGAAGGGGATGGGTCTGGAGAGCCAGGCCAGGGCCAGAGTGGGCCGGGCTTTGTAAAGCCGTGATGAGGAGTCCCATCTCAGTCTGTGTGCAGGGAAGCCTAGGCAGGGCTGGAGCAGGAAAGTAATGTGGTGTGTAGCATGACAGTATCTCCTGGGAGGCCTCCCTTGTGCCAGGGACCACATTTCCCCCATCAGATTAAAAGGCCCTGAGTTCAGGCATGAGTGTTCTTTCTCTTGTGGGTTCCTCTGCCGAGAGAGGGCTGAAGCAGGAGCCGCAGGCCATGGGGAAACTGATGGCTCATCTGTCCCCAGAGCTTTCACCTCCTGGGACTCACCTTCTACCGTTAACTCCACTGTCACCTGGCGGGCACCACTACCATTGGTGGCTTCACAGGTGTACTTTCCCTTGTCCTCCTCCTGGACAGCATGAATCACAAGGCTGAAAGTCCCCCGGGTACCACAGTCCAGCAGGAAGCGGCCCCCACCGGTGATGGGTTGCCCGTTTCTGTGCCACGTCACCTGGGGCTCTGGGTAACCCCGGACCTTCAAGGAAAAGAAGAAAGGTTGAGAGCTTGTATGTACAGAGTATTCCCCACGTGTCAGGTACTGTTCTGGGTGCTATGCATGTGCTAACTCATTTAATCCTCATAACAAGTCTTGAAGCAAATACTACTTTCATCTCCATTTTGGAGATGAGGAAATTGGTAGTTTGGGTAGATTTCTCAAGGTCTTGAAGGTAGAAAGTGGTAAAGTCAGGCATCCTGGCTTCAGAGCCCATCACACAAGTGTCTCTCAAGCGTGGCTGCATGATTACAATCACCAGGGGGAGCTTTAAAGCAATAATAGTGCCCAGGCCCAACGTTGGACCAACTAAGTCAGAATCCCAGGGGTGGGGACTGAGCATAGGGATTCTAGCCCAGTGCTTCCCACTCTAACATGCAAATGAATCACTTGTTAAAATGCAGGTTCTGCTTCTATAGGGCTGCGGTGGGCTTGAGAGTTTGCAGTTCAGACAGGCTCTCAGATGATGCTGATATTTCTGGTCCCTAGATCCCACCTCGAGTAGCAAGTTTCTCGACCTGAGCTGCCCGGTTTGGCAGCCACTGAGCACTTGAAATGTGGCTGGTCCAAACTGAGTTGCACCGTAAATGTAAATTATACACGGGGTTTTGAAGAATTCAAAAAGATGAATTCTTGAAAAAAGAATGTAAACTATCTTGGTAATTTAAAAATACTGGAGGGGGAGTTGTATAGCTCAGTGGTAGAGCATGCACAAGGTCCTGAGTTCAATTAAATTTGACATATTGGGTTAAATAAAATATATTGTTAAAACTAATTTCAGTGGTTGCCTTTCTCTTTTTTAATGTGGTTACTAGGAAAGGTACAGCTACATACATGCCTTGTTTGGTGTTTCTATCAGGCAGTGCTGCCCTAGAGCCCTCTTTCTCACAGAGTTAGCAGCTAACATCTGTTGAGTGCTAAGTGTTAAGCACTTTTCTAAATATTTAACATATCTAAGCCTCATAGCAACTTGTTCAGAGAGAAGATATTTCCCCAAAGAGGGGAAAATGAAGAGAGAGATTTTCCAAGAAAAGAAATCACTCTGAGTTTCAGAGAAAGTTCCCTAAGGGCCCTCAAACCCCTGAAACACAACAGGCCTGTCAGAATGGACTCATCTTCAGAGGGGCCAGGGCTCAGACTGGCCAATCAATGCACAGCCTGGGACCCAGAATTGGGGGACTTTAGCACAGGAAAAGCACAGAAGACATCACAGAAACTTCCCAAGAAAGAAGCTGCTTGCATTACATATAGGTAGGAGCAGCAGCTTTTACTCACTCCCAAGATAAAAGAGCATGACCATCAAAGACCTAGAGTTGCCAAAGCGTTACTGAAGAGAAAGAAAGAGGCTGGAGGAATAACTCTCCCAGACTTCAGACAATACTATAGAGCTACAGTCATCAAGACAGCATGGGATTGGTACAAAAACAGACATATAGACCAATGGAACAGAATAGAGAGCCCAGAAATGAACCCACAAACTTTTGGTCAACTCATCTTCAACAAAGGAGGCAAGAATATACAATGGAATAAAGACAGTCTCTTCAGCAAATGGTGTTGGGAAAACTGGACAGCAGCATATAAAACAATGAAGCTAGAACACTCCCCTACTCCATACACAAAAAATAAACTCAAAATGGATCAAAGACTTAAACATAAGACAAGATACAATAAACCTCCTAGAGGAAAATATAGGCAAAACATTATCTAACATACATCTCAAAAATTTTCTCCTAGTAGAAATAAAAGCAAGAATAAACAAACGGGACCTAATGAAACTTAC